TACTAATATTCTTGAATCATATACTTCCAACAAATACCGAAGCAAGCAAAAATGTAAAAAATATTTGACTTATTCTTCAACAGTGCAATCCATATATAGAGATGTTATTTTAGAATAAAAGTTAACAATTTTTTATTCGTATTACTGTCCATCAAATAAATTATATTAAAACTCACATTACATGCTATTTACATATGTAAATTGTTCAATTGTAGATATAACTTTTATTGTTTTTCTATAATATTTTATTATTATTAATAGACCAATTAGCAAAGTTAATAAAGTAAATAAATAAATATCTTATATAAATAAGAATTAATTCAGAATAAATGAAAGAATCAATTATACACTGTTAATCATAAAAAATCATTTAGTAGAGATTTTATACATTATAATCAGCAATGTGATAAGAACTCTATTCTAACAAAGTTTTGAATAACGCAATGCCATTAAAAGTCATACAAAACGAGCAAGAATATATGTATGCATACTTTAAACTAGTCATTGACAGAGTACGCGAGTTTTCACAACCAGGTCTTTTTTATGTCATATATATTACTATTACTAATTTTCAAGAAAAACGTATTATCAGTAAATATTTTACTTTGTAATATGTATTATTTACAAAATGATACGAATTGGCAAAATAATTATTATATATATATATATATATATATATATATATATATATATACATACATATATGTATATCTTACTGTATATATATATATATAATATATACGTTCAAAATTTGTAATATTTCATTAAGATTTAATTATCTTTGCACAAATATTTATTTTTTATATTCATTAATATCATTAAATATTTGAAATATAATTTTATTCCTATTTGGTACGCTATAAAATATAATTAGCACAAAATCATACTGGAATAAAAAAAGGCCTGGAACTTTTTATAGTTGAGCAATTTCACAAGTTTGAACAGTATAATATTTTACAAAAAAAATTGTTGTGACTGTTAAATATACTTGAACTTGAGAAATATATTGTTTGTACTTGTGAAATATGATCTACTCAATTACATAGATGAATTATCCATCTATGTAATTCTGACAAAAACGAGCTTATGTGTACTCGTATGTTGGTATTATTAACGAGCTGCGAATGTGTAATCCAATATGTGTATTACGCAAATGCTACTTAGTTTTTAATCATGTTAAATGTATAGAATATAATGCCCGACTTTTAAATCAAAGAATGTATGTTTCTGTATGGTTAATGAAAAATTGGAGAATCATAGCATTGGAGCTATAAATGAAAAAAAAAACCATAAAAAAACATACGATACTCGATACAAGTGCACTATAAATGATTTGTATATTTTTATAAACATCGAATGGTTCATTATATTATAATTAATACTATGCTGTCCGCACGTCTAATTGAAATTGTTTTGTTTAGCGCCGGTAGAACCGACTCAGATCATTTCGCTTGTCGCTGACGATTTTTGAAATTAAATTTTTTTTTAATGTTTCCATGTGTAATTAATTTATTAATTTTGTTTGTAAAATACTTTCTCGGTATTTCGTATATCTTTGACATATTTTCTAAGTAGATTGTTTTTTTATGCTTTCTTTCACGGCACCGAGGTGTCATCAACGCTTATCCAATTGTTTTGTGCATGGCCCCAATGTGGGATCAGAAAACGGCATAGTATTAATATAAAAATAATCTACAGTAAGATTAAAAATCGATAAATGATATTTATGTATCACATGTAAAATTAATTAATTCTACATTAAAGCCTTAGGAAACGATTTTATATAAAAATGTATATAAAGAAAAATTAAAAATGTATACTGTCAGCATGGTAATTTTACAAAATTTTAATAAGCACATTTGTGTGTGTAAATTATAGATTTATTTCTCTACAAAAATTGACCAATAATCTCTTTAAGAAAAAAAAAACCGGACAAGAGATTATATAATGAGCTATTTAAAAGAAGGTATATGCATAATATTGCAAATATCTAGATATTAAATTAAATAAGTATTTTTTGCTGTCTGGGCTTCTAGATTAATTTAAGGACGTAATCAAGCTTATATATTAATACGTTTCACATATCCCCTTTGTACATATAAATATCTATTATTATCTATTTTTGTTACATATTTATAAAAAAGAAAATAGTACTTTATTACACAGTAAAAATATACACATTAGGCTAAATTGAAAAATATTTGGACTAAACAAAACATAGAACTACTGACGTGCTACACATTTTTATAAGATGTATTTGTGTCAATGTTTTTATTTTTATTAATTTGCGTTTAACTAATCAGGCATGTGTATACAATATCTATTATAATATTTTATTTTTGTATTTAATAATATGATTTTTCTAGAATTTAGTTAAATACTGAATAGTTCTTTAAGATGTTTAATGTTTATTTTCATTGTCTTATGGGGAGCTCCGTGTTATGACAAAAAAATTTATTATAGCAAAATTGAATAGATCTACGACTTCAATCATAATACTTTATAACTACTATATATATATGATACATTTTCTAATATGAAAATGATAATTAAATTTTTGTGTAATCACCAGTGACAGAATCAATTTATGTAAATATTACATACATTTTACATTCTAAGTAAATCGACAAAGAATAACAGGATCTATAAATATTGTTGAGCTCCCTATATAAAAGAGTCGAAATGTAGTGCGTTGGATTGTTGAATTAATTAACCAGATATTATATATATATAATATCTATATGTGTTTAAACCATTTACTATTTCTTTTATAAAGTATTCTAAATTTTCTGAATTATTCATCTTAAAATTAATCTTATATCATTTTTTATTCAGATAATATGATACTAATGAGGTCTTGTACAGAGTACTGTAAAATATATTTTTACTACTTTTTTGGTTTTATTATTTATTTCTTATTACATAGATTGTGGTTATATTTAGTTTAACTTATACTATGAAATAACAATTATGCCATTGTCTGTATGCCATGCCGTTAGAACTTGCCATTTTCTTTTAGTGTGTATATTCCAAAGTTACTTTATTTTCAATACTCGTACAGGAATTGTTTTAAATATTTACAAGAATTCTTGTAACTTATCTTTAAATATAATGCTGTTAATATGTGCTTCGAAAATAGTTACTTTATAATGATTATGCTGAAATATATCGACTATAATATTTGAACATTACGCTTTTGTTTTTGATTGCATATGGATTACCTCAAGACACAATTTGCTTGTGTATATTCACTGTGCCAATTTTTAGAACTTTTAGAGTTAAGCAACAATTTTGATTCGTATTATTTTTTATATGTTCAAGGTAATAATTTAGATTTTTTTTTTAGTAGCGTAGATGTTACAAAAATATCAATAATGGTATTATAATCAGGATGTTTAATAATTTGAAAGTATATACTTCTATTGTATGATACTACTAGATGTCTATTGTCAAAAATGTAATCACAGATGATTTCTTGCTTATTGCTGAGATACTGTAAATTTATTTTTTATATTATATTTTTATTTTCTATTTTTTTTTGGTATGTATTATAATATTGAGATGGGCAGCAACTAGTATTTTATTCTATATTTTACAGTTTTCATACATACATGTATAAATAAGATACTTCCGTGCCTTTCCTATTGTGGTGTGAACATTATATATTACTTATTATTTTTTTTTTTATTTAATTGAAGTCAATTATCTATTTTAAGACTTCATTTATTATTAACAATATTAGATATTATTGTTTTTAATTTACTATAATATTGATATAACAAATTCAATTGTCCATTTCATCGCCTAATGATCAATATACCTTTCCATTCTGATTTTTGGCCAAGAATAAATGAGTATATAATTTATAATTAATTGCATAAGTAATTAACTGTCATTGTATCTATGCATGTATAAAAATTTATTTGCAGATCATATAATTTTATAGTAGACTTATAGACCATTCTATAAAATTTTAGTAATACTGTTACCTACATGTTTCACAATGATATTACTAATTATTGAATGAATGCATTGTATATCGATCATTTAATTGTTTATTTATATTAAATTTCACGTAAAATTACCTAAATAATAATATAAATAATGAACAATTATATTGGTGCATAAGTGAGGTATACATCAATCATTAGACTAATGGCATTAAGTATTTTTAAATACATTTATCATGATACATTATTACTTACATATAAAATAATGTATCATGTATCGTGTACATGTAAAAACTGATAATAATATTGCGTATTATGTTCTACTTTTTTTTTGACACATTTAATATAAAGTACATTACTTTATTAAATAATATTGCTCTAAAATATATCGGAAAATTTAGCTATTTTATTTTTACAAATTCTAACAACCGGCAGTTGTATATAAGAACATGTTCTAAGTTTTTTTTAGTAATTTAATATTATTTTCTAAGCAATTAAAATAAAAACATTTATGTGATAAGAAAATAATTCAAGAACAAACGATACAAATGATGAATGTATTAAATATGATATTAATATTTAAATATTAACCCTTCATTCATGAATCAAAGAATATATTAATTGTAAGACTGTAACTTCATAATTGTTCATAATATTTTAGCTCTGTTAACTTTCTGTATATACGAAAGTAATGTTACATTTTTTTTTACAATAAATTAATAATTAAAATTATAAATTCGATAAGTTCTTCAATATTCAAAAAAAAAAAAAAAAAAAAGGGCTTTCTTGTATTATAAATTAAAAAATTTTAATTTATCTGATATACTTAATTTTATTTCTATTATTTTTACAATATCAATCGATAAAAGTAAATTAACTTTTTCGTGCATATCTTTACTTATTAAAGTTATAACTTTATAAAATCATTTTAATAACGATTTTCACTGCATTTACTGATCGAAATAAATAGATCCAATTGAATTATTATTATTGGAAATGTTGACAGAGCTACAAAAATTCTGATAATACATTAAATTTGCGAAATTTACACCTTTACAATAATTTTACAATGTACATTGAAAATTTGTGTTCATTTGTAAAGAAAAATTTACACTATAGTGTATTGTTAGACAACGTGAACCTTCTCCATATTAAATTAAGCAAAATTAAAAACAGTAAAAGAAGATAGTTTCAGTAACTTTAAGACTAATTTCTTAAATAGTAAATACTGCACGTATTTTCCAAAGAGAAATTTCTAATTCATTTTTAGTAGCTGAAACAAATAAATTACAAAAATCAAATATTAATTTTAATATGTTTAACCACAAAAACATATTTTTTCTAAAAAAACTTAAATTTGTAAAAAGGAAAGAAAAAAAGAACTATCTTTTAAAATTACATCTTTATAAAACTACGAACCGGTAATAACTGGGCTTGAAAGGTCCAGCCTTATTCAAACCCATGTATTTTGCTTGTTCATCTGTCAATTCTGTTAAATGTGCATCGAATGTTGGTAAGTGTAATGAAGCGACGTATTCATCTGTAAAATAATATTTTGTTCATTAATTATTTTTTCTACTAGAAAAATCACTTCATATTATAGTGTATATTTGAGTGTATATAATTAAATTTTTACAATACTAACTGCTTTTTAAATTGTAATATATTTTTCATAAATACCCATTTTTTTAGGAAGCAAGTAAACATCACTCTTATAACGTCCTGGCGGAGCATTAAATAGTTCGATGAGAGCCAATGCTTGTGTAGCAGCTGTAATGGAGACTACAAAAGAAGGAATGCTGGAACAAGACAAGTTGACCAAACGACCTTCCGCTAGGAGGACGATACGCTTTCCATCTGGCCAGATTACATGGTCCACTTGAGATCTTACTTTTTCCCAAGTTAAATCAGGGGTGCGTAAACTGTTCTGTTAAGAACATATTAAAGGGATCTTAATCTTTTACCAATATATTTCTTTTTTGTTCTGAAATAGAAGAAATACGAGTTCTTCCTCCAAAAAAGCCAAGATCAAAGCATTTTGAACAATATAATTTTACATTACTATTAGTTAAAAAAAGAGCTAAAACATACAATATCTATTTCTGTATTACTATGTCCCATATTGCATACTACGCATCCATTTTTCATCTTATCCATGTGTTCCCGAGTGACTACATTTTTGTTGCCTGTTGCAGTAATAACAATATCAACATTTCTAATCACTTCATTTAATTTCATTACTCTAAATCCATCCATACTGTAAAACAGAAAATGCATGTATATTACAAATATATTTATATAGTTAGGTGAAATTAAGTTTATTTACCTAGCTTGCAATGCACAAATTGGATCAATTTCAGTAATGTATACAATACAACCCAATCCTTTAAGAGCTTGACAACATCCTTTGCCAACTTCTCCATAACCACAAATTACAACTTGTTTTCCTCCAAACATAACGTCTGTGGATCTCTTTAAACTATATAAAGCAAACTTACAAAAAGAATTTATAGCAGCATATATATGAATATAATGCTGTTTTTACAATATTTCTACCATAACTAATATCAACATACCTATCAATAATACTTTCCCGGCAACTATAAAGATTGTCAAATTTGGTCTTTGTAACACTATCATTTACATTCATTGCAGGGACGGATAATTTGCCTGCCTTGGACAATTGATACAATCTATGAACACCAGTAACACTTTCTTCGACAATACCTAAAATTCGTTTATATAATGTAAAAATATTATTTTGCATAATTTCAAAAAATATTTTAATGAGGACAATAAAATAAAAAATTCCATCCACAAAAAAATAAATATTATACCTTGAATCATTTTAAACATAGCATTGTATTTTTTAAGCATTAAATGTGTGGCATCTCCTCCATCATCCAATATCATATTTGGTTGCCAATTTTCAGCTGCCACACACTTATCAATACACCACCAAAAGTCCTCTTCTGTTTCACCCCGCCAAGCAAAAATTGGATATCCAGTGTGAGCTAAAGCAGCTGCTACTTCATTCTGTGTAGAATAAATATTACATGCAGCCCATCGTACTTGCGCTCCAAGCTCTACTAAGGTTTCAATCAAAACTGCTGTTTGAGCATTAATATGAGTACATCCCACAATTTTGGCATTCTTCAATGGCTGTTAAAATTATTTAAACATCAGAATTTCATCTTATAATTAAAAAATGTATAAATTAATACATGAGTAAAGATATGTTAATAAATTATATAAATAAATAAAGCAAAATAGTAAAATACCCTATCTTCTGCTGCACGCTTACGAAGTGCCATGATTCCTGGCATTTCTTGTTCTGCGATTTCAATTTCTCTACGCCCGAAAGCATGTTGATTGATGTTCCGCACACAAAAGTCAGTAAATCCTCTTTCCGTCTTTTGAATTTTCTCACGTGGTGATACATCATCTTCATCTGACGAACTTCCTGTATAAGATGCTAAGATAGAACCAAAATACCATAACATTAACAGTTAGTGCCACAAAAAATGCAAGTGTGAAGTTATCATGTTCTATATAGTTTTGAAAGTAAAAGTGAATGAGTTATACTTGAACAGATAAATCATGCATAATAATGAAACACATTTGCATTAATTATAATCAGTTATTTTTTTTTTAATGCAGACACTTCATAAACTACATATATATTTTAAGTAGATTAATAATGGAAATATTAACACAAAAGCATATATATATATATAAAGGATGTTTCGTAATACAAGAGGTTTATTTTTAGTAATGAACAGGAAATATAAAAGCAATCTAAAAAAGTTCATACAAAGATGTATGCTATTTGATCTTGTATAAAAGTTATATTTACTTTTGTGTTTCAATAATTTGATATAGCTTAATATTACAATATGTATTACGAAACGCTCTGCATTTTTATATATATATATATATATAGGAGACATTCACTTGTTCAAAAAATGAATTAGAAGAAGGCTTAACAAGCACAAAGGCAACAAATAATCATCATTATATTCATACCAGAACTATAACTGTCAGTGCTGCTAGCAGATAAAGACCGGCTGCGATACCGACTAGATTTCTTTAAAGCCCCAGATTTAGAATCCTAGAAATGTTAAGCAGATTAAATATCTTTAACATTCATGGAGACTTAACAAATTGTTATGAATTAAACAATATTACGAACTCAATGGTGCGCGCGAATGAAGTTATTTTGTTTAATATAGACACAGATTAATATAGACGATTTACATTAGTATAGAAATGATTTAAACGATTTCCATATATATATATATATATATATAGAACTGAACCTAAAACATTTATGATATGATTTATCTATGTGAATACTTTCTGCATCAAAAAATTTGGAGAAAATGAAGATAAGTAAATCATCTCTTTATTAGTCTGTATTCACTGGTAAGGAGATAAAAAAAATGACAATTCCATTGGCGTGGACCACCTTTAAACAGTTGGAAGGAATTAAAGCAATCCTGAGGAAGTGACAAGAGATTGTTTTTGGCAGAGGGTACAATTTACTTTGTCTTTGATACACATATTCTTACTTACTAATTTTGTTCTCGGGCCGTGAAAGGCATTATTTGATGCCTCAAGGCTCTGAAATCACAACAATCACCATTTCATGATTCAAATGCATTAGATTTTCATAATACAGTCCGTAGCTTGGTACAAAGCTCCCAAAGGTTATACTTTATATGTAAAACAAATAAAGCATCAATCAATGTTTATATGTAATGCAAAAATTATTTCATAATAATGTTTTCTAAATGACATTATCTAAGAGGTATAAGAAAAATTATATAAAATAATGCAATAAAAAATGATTAAAATTATATAAAAGTAATACTCATAAAATAATACTAATAAAAATTATATAAAATATAATAATATAATTTGTAAAATATAAATTACTTATTATATCATTACAATTATACTTAATATATGTGAAATACAAAAATTCTATTCAATAATATAATGAATTAATGAATGGTACTGATTAATTAAATTTGTTATACATACATTAGTAGTAAAACCTTTAAATATTCCATAATTATTTCAATTATACTTGAGAAAAATTCATTCAGAGTTAACTGTGCCACGCCCATGTAGTGTATTTAGGCTTATAAATGAGCGATGGATGAGTGATTGGTACCGAACCTACGGACTACTGTGAGAATAACACTGTATATATAAAACAACAAAATCACTTTAATGATAGACTACAGATATATAATAGCTAACATGCTTTTAAATTTATACGTTCTATTCATAGATAAATAAATATATTACAATGTTGAAAATTGAAATAAAATTATATTTAATGTATAAATCAATTTAATGATACAAATAATATAATGTTAAATTAATGTTATCATAAATAAATAAAATAAGGAACAGAGAAACTTGGATTTTATAAATATAATTAAAAAGTTATATCTTTTGCTATCTTTTCTTTTAATTATAATAAATAATATCTATATTAGTTATTAATATATTTAAGAGTTATTGTACTGAAAAAATTAAATGATTTCACTAAATGTAAATATATTTATTATATATGCATTAAAATTTTGTACAATAATGAATTATTTTTATAAAAAAGTTATATTGAAATAATAATAGAAAAAATATATCTATATAAATGGAGTAAAAGAGAATTCATTGTAATAGGAAGTATAATGTAGAAAAAGTGTTTACATACAATTTTTAAATCCTGTTTAGATTCTGATAATTCCTTCTCTGACATTTCCATTTTTAATAAAAACACAAAATTCTGAATATATAATTGTATATAAAGTTGTAGATGTGTATAAAATAGTTAGATCTATCACTTTATACTTAATAGTATAATAGAGACAACTTATGTGCTTGAAAGCATTCGAAGAACTGTTAGAATAGAATTATAGAAGCTGTGTAGCAGCTGTACCAAGACAGTCTTTTTCCAAACCAAGTGTCTTCTATTTCAATTCAGATTATCAAACTAACTATACAAAATACGTTTCCATGTTGCATAACATTAATAGATAGTACATCTGTATCCTTCTTATTGTGTAAACATTTGTCATTATCATAGAAATTCATGTATATTGCATTAAAACACTTACAAATATGTAGTAATTCTTTATATGCATATACCCATTTGCAAAGTAATTTGTGTAACAAATAAACTTTATATAAATGATAATAGCATATATTGCTAAAATGTATTTACAAAGTCTTTTAGATTAATATTTAAGTATAAATAAAAGTTACACATATAAAGTATTTATAAGCAATTTTTAAAGGTAATTGAATATATTATTTAGGTATTCAAATATATTAATCTACTAAATAGATTAGTATTAAATATAGAAATATATAGTAATTATTATTATAAAAATAACAAATTATATATATTACATATTATCTTTTATATATTGCTTCGTCAAAAATATATAACTTTAAAAGTTTAACTAATAGTAAACAAATTAACATAAAATTACATCTTTATCAATATATTTGATACAAAATTATATAAATTATATAAAATTAAATAAAGCTTTTAAAAAAACAATTTCAATAATGAAACAACGAACGATTCCAACATAAGATATGAAGAAACACAAATATAGATATATATAGAACAAAAATGAATGAAAAAAAAACTAAGTACACACACAAACACACACTCACGTATATACAATACACGCTTTATAATTATTAGGTTTTTTGAAGGATATTTGTTTTACCCTCATATACACATACACATACACACAAATCATATACATAATGTTAAAGAAATAGATTTTTCAGACATAATATGATATTAAAATGAGATTCTAAAAGAGTTGTAAAAATAAAATACCAAAAATATCCCTATATAAGACTAGTCATTAAATTTGAGTATGACCACGAGTGGTATATAAATGATGATATCTTCAATGACATCATATCGTTCTAAATATAATTTACCTTAGTACTTGAAGCAGGATCGGTAACTGGACCATCGCTGACGGCATTTCTAGCCTCTTTTCCTGATAACGTATTTAATGCATCTCCCCCGTCAGCCATTTTTCAATCAGATACATCTATATACAAGAAGACCAAAGCATAGACTAACTATAGATACTGCAACTACAGAGTACTGTGCTGACAATTTACCAGATGTGAGTTACAGCGCTAATACTTATATGAACTAATAACTGTCAATTATGTTATTAAGGCTTTGTTAAAAATAACGTATCTGTCGAATGCATACAATGAATTAGATGTAACTAATTTATTCAAGAATATTTATATTGTACTATATATACACTATAATTATAAAGTATCCATATTCCATTGTTATGAATAATATTGAGTTAAAATACGATACATGCAATTAAAAATAACTTTATTAAAAGGTCACGTAATTTAATCAAACTTAATAATCATATTATTAAACAAATTTTACAAATTTATCGTTCAATTAAACTGTTAAAGTTTGTTAATTAAATACCCAAAAAGGTATTGATATTCTACGAATAGTATTTGAATTCTACTACTTTCTTTGTTTATAATTATAATAAAAATTGTATGATATTTATAATCGAGAAATAAAAAAAACAGAAATGACCATAATCATTTATTAAATTTGAATGCCGCGCGAATGAAAGTAGAAAACATTCTGACTATAATGCGATTGGGTACCTAATTACCCGCGCTGATCACGTGATTTTAAATGCATTTGTCATATATAGTATGTAGATATTTCAACTTATCACAAAAAAACATTTTAAACATACTATAAACTGGAAAATTTTTTTCTTACAATGTGAACAATTGATTAAATGTCTATTAAAACAAATATATTTACATAAATATTGTCTTTATTCAAATGATTGAGAGTATTAACATTATTAATGCATTACTATCGGCATACTTTAAATTATTAGAGGGCGATACTATCGTTTGATAGTTAGGATCATTTCTGCTGTAATTTAATATAACGTATCTTAAAATATTGCTTTGTTGCTGGTTTTACTATTTATTTAATTTTATCATTAATTTAATAAAACATCTGTATTTAAAATTTTCTTTTAAAACATATAAAATAGTGAAGTAGCAAAGATTCACCAAACTAACTTTGCTGAATCTTAATTGGGTAATACTTATATCTTACATTTATACGGTCCAATCAGAATCCCATAAAACTTTACTTAAACATATTTTTATATTATAAAATTTATTTCCAAGAGAATAAATACGTTCATTTTTTACGAAATTTGATCAATTTCGTTTTTTTTTCTCTTCATCGAAGAGATATATTATATTTATTTATTTTTATTTGTTACTCAATACAAAAGAAGGAAGGTTTCTTTATTAATATGTACTAATACTTTATTTAAAAAGATAATATTTATAATATTTCTATTACTTTTATAATTCTTTTCTCACTTTATGCCAAATTAGTAGTTAAAATAATTGATACGATCCTGCCCAGGATAGCATATTATACTATCGTTTTTAAAAACATCAGTCGTAGTGTGCCCACCCACCAAGATGGCTCCTTTACGGTGCAATACTCGAAGTTTGACGTGAAGTTATTTACACGTCTGGAATTTAACACTGTCCAGAAAAGTGTTAGACATTTTTTGGTGCGGCGTGTATGGAGAAAGAGAAGTTAAAATAATATATGCATAATAAAAAACGATTAAGATTCTATCGGATTTTCAAAAAGTATCAACGAAACGGCCGGTCGGCTCGTGAGTTAGCTCAAGGAAGAAATATATGTATCTATGTGTCTTTCATGAGGGTATAGCACATCAATTTTAAGGTATTCGCGAAAAAAGTATTTTCATATGAAAAAAAATTAATTAAAAAAAAAAAAAGATAAAAATAATCGTCTTCCGTTTAATGACGCGTACACGACGATCTTAAGAGTATAAAGTTGCTCTCGTCAAGTGTATAACTTGGCATATTAAAAACGTATGTACGCGCAATCGTCACTATCAAAATTCAGCGCGGATGTGTACATTGTATATTGATCTATTCATAGCTGTCAATCATATTTCGAACAAATCCTTTTTCGCGTGTGTTAATTATTTTTTTGATGTGTGTGTTTCGATGTAATGATTCTATGATTGTCCGTAATAAGCTTGACGAATGGCGAGGACCGTTCACAATCTAGACACGCAGCAACGTGTAACGATTTATTTTTCTATTGTTGCTTTCTTACGTTTAAAAATTAGATTTATTTTAATATCTGAAATTTTGAAAAGACTCGTCTCACGATACATATTGGACTTTTTGTTTTGTTTCTTCGAAATTATCTTTTTGCCAAGATATCGACTATTTTACTTTTTAACGCGATAGATATAATGTTTTATTAATACTAACGCAATCGTCGTTATATTTTCAGTTGAAAAGAGAACTGTTGATTTCTATTCCATTTACATGTAGGTGTTTAATAGGTATTTCATTTATTAACAATTATTCGTATGTGATCGTAAAAATAATGAATTGTTAAAGAGTTGGTTCATGTGTTCTGGTTTTTATAATAAATTTTAATAGAAAAAATGAAATATTTGAAATATGAAAAAACATATGAATAATTGGTCTAGAACATTATTAGTGTTTGATTTCTATAATCAAATTAGGATATTTTGTATAATTGTATTTTGCTTCATTTTTCAAATCTTTTTCTTCTATTTTATTATTTTGGTTAATCATTGTTAGATGTATCCATCTTTTTGTTTTTATAATTTTCAGATATATGTCACCAATTCTAATACGTGCCATCATTTATAAAAGATAATCTTTTCTAAAATTATACCGACATTGAAACCAACTGTTTCATACATAGAATTTGTAAAGCTTGAGATATGTATACTATCAAGAAATGATTATATGACATTATTACTGGCAAATGTGGAATAAGAATATTGTGTTGATAAAGTGTAAATAAAATCTTGGCAAATGTTAATTAAACATATATGCTCATACAAATTTTTTGATACTACATGTTAAATTGCATTGTTGTGATGACATATAAGTATCAAATGTGAAAAAACAAATTGAAGTAATAGAATATATTAATGAAGATGTTACCTAAAGAAAATTCTTCTGGTTTACATGCATGTTTGTAGATCTAATATTATGATCAAAAATATGCAAACAAATTCCTAATAAATATAAGACATAATACCATTTACTTTTAAAACATATAAATATGTCTTGAGTAGCATTACTTGAGAAAAACATAATTTATTTTCAAATTTGAAAATTGTCCAAGTGTTATAATTGTACATTATACCAAAAATGGCAAGAAAAGGTGATAATATCAAGGCTATAAATATTGCGGTTGTTGGACTTTCTGGTACAGAGAAAGATAAAGGACAAGTTGGGGTTGGGAAGTCATGCTTATGCAATCGTTTTATGCGCTCTCTCAGTGATGATTATAATGTGGACCATATTTCAGTATTATCGCAGGTATTGTAATATATATAATTATAATTTTATATAAGTTCATTGATTATATTATATGTTTTACAGTCGGATTTTAGTGGCAGAGTCGTAAATAATGACCACTTTTTGTATTGGGGCGAAGTAATGAAGACTCTTGAAGATGGTACAGAGTATCAATTTCAAGTAATAGAGCATACAGAGTTTATAGACGATGCATCTTTTCAACCTTTTAAAGGTGGTAAGATGGAACCTTATGCAAAAAGATGTGCAGCCACTAAAATTACCAGTGCTGAAAAACTTATGTATATTTGCAAAAATCAATTGGGTATTGAAAAAGAATATGAACAAAAAGTTTTACCAGACGGTAAACTAAATATTGATGGTTTCTTGTGTGTATTCGATGTAAGTGTTGTGCCTAACAGATTAATTGAGAAACAAGTTGAAATAGTAGCTAACATACTAAATAATTTAATGAAAACGAAAAAGCCTATAGTTCTTATCACAACTAAAAACGATGATGCAAATGAGCAATATGTTAAAGAAGCAGAAAAGTTGGTGATGCGCAAAGAATACAAAGGATCCATACTAATAGTGGAAACTTCTGCACATGAAAATATTAATATTGACTTGGCCTTTACGATCGTAGCACAATTAATTGATAAAACTAAAACACGCAGTAAAGTGATTCCTTTTGCGGAGGCAGCTAGAGCAAGGAAAGAATTATTAGATACATCTACTGAATCTTTGCAAAGATTAATTCGTATGCATGTTACTGATTTTCGTGCACTATGGTCACAAGCATCCAAAAAACTTGCACAACATAGAGAATTCTCAACTTTTATAGAATTATTTGGAATTGATGCGACGCAAAGATTATTTAGAAGACATATTAAAAAGCTAAAAGATGAGCAAATAGCAAAGAAGATACAAGGGTACTTAGATGTACTACCAGACATTCTTCATGAATTATGTCCCGATATATCAAGTTTAATTAACGAGTAAGATCTTATTTGTTATCTCTAATTTTATTTTTAAGCAAGGTCAAACAAATTAATATAATTTTATTACAAATATTTGTTCACTAGGGAATGGTCTTCTGTACAACAATGTATAAAAGAACATCCTGACTTTCAACAATATTTTTATGAGTGTCCCGAGGACATACCTTGGATTGATTATGATTTTGGAGAAAATAATAGTAGCTCTAAAATACCTTATGACGTTTTAGAAACATCGGAAGCTGAAACTGTTTTTAAAAATCATGTTAATGCTTTACAACAGGAACAACGTCGATTAGAGTAAGTATTGTAATCTATTGAAAAATAATGCTTCGTTTAAAAAAATGTGGAACCAAATATAAAGCTAATACATATATTCTTAATCTTATACTTTATTGCTTAATTTTGTATATGCTTTTGTTATTGTGATTATACAATCATTTAGAATTTAGACAATAATATTTATCCGTATTATATTAATGCTTTGCTTTATTTTGGGTGGCGTTTCTTTGTGCAGACTTCCAAAAAGGTAATCTATGCTTTAATTTACTGCTTGTTTATATACTGTATAGTTATAAGCAGATCTTAACTAGCATAATGACAATAGAGATGTTGCTATTTTCAAGTTCAATTAAATTTTGATTTGAATTGAATTGGATCTTATAATATATAATTAT